GTTTCATGATCGAACATGATCGAACAATCCTACACTAATCCGTAATCTACTTTCCCATCGTTGAGGGAAAACACCCAAACTTTCAAAAAGGATACCTCCACCAAGCCTCCACCAATTCAGCTTTGCTGATTTTGCCACCCTGGTCACTTGAAGACAGATTCATGCTCCTGGCTGAGGAGCATGCCTTGGCTGAGCACATTTTTTGGTGCAATGTCCCTTGGACCGCGCATCTCATACCTGCGCGAGCCTGCGGCAAGCTCGCGCATGGTCCGTCGTCCGGGCCGCAGGTGGCATAACTCTGCATAGCTCTGCCATTTTATACCATGAATCAACTTGCCATGGCTAGAAAATCCATGAAAAGGAAGACATCCGCATTTGGACATGGCAAGTGGTGGTGTGTTTATGTTGATTATGTGGGTGAGTTCATGTGGCTCCCCATGATGACATGCCGGGCCAGTTGTTGAGGGGTGACATGTACTGGAGCGTTTTGCATCCAGTACTAGACATCTGACTCCGTGACTTAATGGGAGTGTTTAAGGGCATATTATATTTAAAACTGGTTGGCTGACCTGGTGTTGTAGTGCAAAATCCTTACCAAAACATGGTTGTTCGGTAAGAACCATTGAATCAATGGTGGGCCAGGAAGCCTAGGGTACAGTTTGGACTTTGTATCTTCAAATTGGTGGTAGGATGTCTTCCCTCCATCAGTTATATAGTACAGGAAGATATCCTATACCAGGACCCGACAACCGGCCATTTTTTGAACCCGAGTTGTCGGTGGTTTTCTGGGTACCAGACTTGTCACCAGGAGTGGGTCTTGCCACGGTGGCCACGGTCATTTTATGTCATTTCAGCCAGTGGTGAAATCGTTGTGTGTGGCATAGCGTGGCTAAAAGCACGGTGTTCCTCCCCTGGAGACGTGGTGGCATCGACATCAAGTTTCGTTAATTCATGTTTGTTCCCAGTCACCACATTCTCACCACTTCAGCAACTTCAGAGTGGCTCTGGGTCGCAGCCCCACCGGTCCCATACAGTGGTTTCAGAGAAGATGGCACGGACCTCAAAATGTTCTTTACATGGGGGTTCATAGAAGCCACCTCTTGGGGTTTGTGCCATTTACTCACTCTCTATCCTAATCTCTCTCCTATTTTCCCTCCCTCTGGCACCTGCGCCGCGTGTTTGGAGCATTTCCCCTCTGCTTCTGGCGCCGACGTGGGCGCCCCCCCGGCGGACGTCGGAGGTCCACCACGGAGCGGCGTCTTCTCCCACCGCGGCAGGTGGTGGACAAGGAAGTCTCCCACCTTCAGAAGACGGCGACGGCGGCACGATCCGACGTTCCCCAGGCGGGAGGCAGAAAAAGATAGATCGAACGAGTCAAGGACCTGGTGGGGTCGAGTCAAGGACCTCGGTCGAGTCAAGGACCTCGTTGGACTGGATCCGGTCATGCACAACCAGTGAATGACTCGATGAGGTGAGCCGCGGACCAGGTTAAAATTATATACATAACCGGGCCCGGCTGGACTCCAAGGTGAGTGGTCAGGAAGGTGATGGGAGCGCCTCTTCAGAACTTAAAGGATCTTAAAGGTGGAGATATGATGCCTGCCATGAGTGGACACCCTGCCCGATAATTATCTAGTTTTGGGAGGATTGAGAAGCCCCACTCACATACAGCAGGGAGGAAAAAGGTGAACACATGCTGTGCTGCAGATGTTTGGGCGCTAATCCTAATCTCCTAATCCCTTCTCTCAAGAATATAGACCCTAGGCTTCCAACAACCATTAATTTAATCGGCTGAATCCCGAATCAACTAAGGAATTTACGCTACAAAAACCAGGTCGTTCCCATTTTTTTAATGGTCGAACGGAAGTCTAGGGTAGATGATGCGATTTGCACAATCATCGAACCTCTTTGACAGGGTCGATGTGCAAGCGTCCCAAACTAGCCTCTAACAAAGAACCATAATACCATATACAACCCTGACCGGAGGGAAGACCAAGTGATCAAACATGATCAACCTGGAATTTACACCGGGAATTCGGTTTGGTGGATGACGTTTTGGCACTCTCAAATCTGCGTTTCGCAGATTTGAGTTATATAAAGGCATGAACATGCACCATTTGCTTTAATCTGAGTTGAAGACTTGAAGTTGAAGGCTTCTTGGAGGATTTGGCATGTACTAAGTGTGCACCGATGCACCCGCCAGGACAGAGGCAGAGACTTGGCATTGAATGGCTTCGAGACTGTGCCTCCAAACAACGAACATGGCCATGGAAGATGCACCCTCAGCTTTTACATTCTCTGACCATGGTTTTTGCTCTTTCGATCGTTGGTCTCCATGCTTCAAAATCACCAGGTTTGGGGGTTTACCCAGTTCGGGAACATAGACAAATCATCTTAACAACTTAAGCAAAACCCAAACGTGGGGACCAGGCAGTCGGAGTGGACTTGACTGGACTTGGCAGTGCCACAGAGAGCAGCGGCGGGACCAGCGCAAAGAGGAAGGAATCTCTCCACGAATTCTCCTCCAACAACAGGGCAAGTGGAGCTCCTTTTGTGAGGCTTTCAGTATCTTTCTTTGATGTTTGATCGCTTTTTTTTGAGGCTTTCCATGTTTTTTTGCTGGTTTTTTCTTTCCTCAGTGACTCCTTCCACAAGGGTTCCTCGCGCGCGTTCCTTCGCTCGCGTGCCGGGACCCGCTGGGCTCGGTCCGAGGCCGAAGATTCAGCTCGCCCAGGGGGCAGAAGACCCATGGGAGGCGAGAAAGGCGCGGGTCGACCCATGGGGCAGAGAGTCCTCATCAGACCCAAGTAAAGTGAAGGGAGCAAGTGGGTCTGAGCTACGCTTCCTTCAAAGCCTTGGTGGCTTTGGTGACCGATCTCAGGGTTCGACAGCTGTAACTGTTGTAAGAGCTGTTTTTGATCAGTCTTCCTTCCAGCACGCATGTCCTCGATGGTGCCAGCTATTAGTGGCTATAACGGCATTGCAACTCTAAATTATATATACCATATATGATATGCCTAATAAGCAGATGCGCAGCCAATCCCTTCCCCCAATCCCCACCAGAAACTCTTCCTTTCAAACTTCTTCGTCGCTTCCTTTTGGCTTCACGTCCCGCGCGCGTCCCGCGCAGCCTTCCGTCGTGCCCAGGCGGACCTCTGGGTCCTTGCCGAGGATCTCTGTCCGGGACTTGAACGCGAAGGGTTGGCCCTCCTTGAATCCGATGCCCTTGAGGCCGACCGCAACAGGAACGGACGGGTTGAACGATAGACGGACGATAGGACATGTTTGTTGTCCTTTAGCAGGAACTGGTGCCAGGAGCAGCAAGGCGTTCTGAATTGGCAAACTTTTTTAAAGCTCATGTTTCCTGCTTTCTTTCCGAGATTGTTGAAATGGGGGTCTAGGTGGAAGATTCGGGTTGCGGACTCGGAATTCAACCCTTTTCCCCTTGGCCTTCCATTGGACCATGATTGAACACTGCTTGATCTCGTAGTGCAAAGTCCTTCATCAAACAAGGGTTGTTCGGAGGTACCTGGTACACACCATGACATCAATGGTGGTTGGAATGGTGCCGGGCTCCCCAAAGAATCCAGGACCCTGCTGGTACTTCCCAGACAGGACGGCAGATGGGACTGGCATAGATTGGCCCTAAAAGTCCAGGAAAGACCATGCTTTGAAATGGTTGAGCTGGTTGGATTGCAGTGCGAAATCCCTAGTAAAACAATGGTTTCTCTGCAAGGGCCATTAAAACAACGGTGGTTTGAATCCTACATGTTACATGCATTGGGGTGGTTGACCTGGGGTCAATGTATATAGTTTTCAAGTGGGGCCAAGCGCATCCAAGAAACCCGCAGATAAAGGATTTACATCGTCAAACTGGACTGCCATGTCGTCGATTTGTTATTTGATTAATATGGATTAAATGATGAAAAGGCCGAAATTGGTCACAGTTGCAAGATCCAGGTATATGAAGTTCCATACCCACGAACTAACTTTGTTGTAAGACATAAAATAAAAGCAATTCATTAAAAGGGATGTTTGGCAGGCATAATGTAGCCCTACAAGTCCAAAAAAAACAGTAAAACCTGATCTCTTACCTCCTTGTATGTAGTGTATTGTTTTTTTTGTTTGATGGTTTTGGCATGACCAACTCCAGTAAAATTCAATAAGGTCATTGACCTGTAGGGTAGGTATACTGGCGGCTTTGTCCTTTCCAAGAACTTCTCACGCAGGTCCACGAGCTCGGCTCTCCGACCGAGCCCGCCCCCGCCATCCTCCAGCTCGGCGTCGGCGACGCCAGCGTCGGCGTTGCTGCGATGCATGTCGGAGCCCATGCTGAAGACACAAGGCTTCGGAACGGATGGAGGAAGCGAAATGCACTCAAAGGACCAGGTGCACAGGTGGAGGAGGAAGTGCACCCTGTGGTGCATTAAAAAAACACGCACTGGCACCGGCGAAACCGTGATTTGCAGCTGCATTTTTGTTGGGGGGGTGACTGCTTCTTCCTTGCCCTACCAGCCTACCAGTCCAAAAACTGCTCCGGCCAAGCTCATTGAGTACTGCTTTGGCATGGTCTTTAGGTGGCCCGACTCCAGGAATGTTGTCTATGGGTTTCCTGTAGATTTTCGGGCTGATGGTTTCAGACATATATTTTTAACATGTTTCAACCTTGACTTCCATGATCAATCACCCAACATACCCAAAAATAATTCATGTCAAGTGTTCGCAACCGTTTTCGTTGAACACCACCCAAGAAGACCACTATATATATAGTTTTTCCCTTTCAACCAATTCTGTGATGTTCATCGCCCTGAACCTTTCATCGTCGCTCCTACTCACCCCGGTCCAGGTGAGGCGAAGCCGCTGCCAACCATCGCGACAGCGGCGAGGCGGACGCCGCGGGTCGTTCGCCGGGTCGTTCGCCGGGCCAGGTCGTCAGATGGGAGGGAGACATCATCCTAGGGTTGCATTCCTTTCCCCTCCTAGAGTAGAAGGGTGTGACCCCTGGTGTTTCTCGTTGATGTGTTGTTTTAGTTTTTCTGCGGGGGGGTGTTCCAGCATCATCCAAAGGATGGTGAGTGGCAGGTGGATGGTAAAGAACTGTGAAGAACATCACGGTGTCTATAAACTATAAAGCATCCTTTGGGTGTGTGTTTTTTTTGTTTTCTTTTGTTCCCCTTTCCCCGACACCGATTCGGTGGCAATTGCCAGGGTTGTAGGGGACGTCCCTGGCCTGTAGAGGGTGCCGGGCATTCTTTGTGGTGGAGTTATGAGGCAGGCGGCTCGGGAAAACACCGCCAGCTTGGGCACTCGGATATCATCTTGAATCTCACTGTCTTGAATCTCATAGTCGAGGATGGCCCAACCAAAGCCCTTCAATAGACAAGCGAACCTCTTTTCAAATATGTTTTCATGCCTTAGGCAATATGAGGAGGCAGCAGCTGCCAAGAGGGTCTGTAGGCAACTGGCTCAGCGTCACTGTTATCGAGATATATAGAGACTTGATCCGTGCACCTAACTAGTCACGTAACAGCACACGAATTCAAACACATCCCATACACTCCATGTATGCCATATATGCCTACATTGACCCCCCAAACCACCCCAATGTAGACATGTGGCAGTCCCATGGAGCATCTGGGTATTGTAACCACGTCACCTGGAATCCACTCGAAAGATCTGCCGGCCCATTGGGGTTCTCCAAGAAGTCTTTCCAACTATCGGATCCTGGAGTTCCAGTGTTCCACTCCTGGAGTTCCGAACACCCTGGGGAAGTCCCAGTTGACTAGTCGACCATTTATTCAATGGTTGATTTGTGTGGTGCAAAGCTGGGTTTCCAGATGTTTCCAGGGTCTTCGTGGAAGATGGGCGCGCCGATAGGTTTTTGGGTCGATCGGCTTCGTTCGCAATCGACGTTTGAGGCCTCGAGGGCTTCGACAAGCATGGAAGGAAAAACTAGAGAGTACAGAGGGGCAGGCCAGTGTGCAAAGGCAAGCAGTGGCTGGTCTGTCTCAGTAGACGCCCGTGTGCTTGTGTGTCCAGGAGCGTAGAAGTCCATGTCGAACTATCTTCTATGCAGATAGACATTCGCTTTGAGATACTTTAACCATAAGAAAGACCCTCAAGGGTGGGCAGAATTGCGGGAAAAAGTGGGTCTTTCACACCTGCATCCACTCCAGTTCTAGGGCCCAGGTGCGTGGGTGCGTGGATGATCCTTGGGCCTTGGGCCATTCGTGTAAAACTGGTACTGTAGTAGTTTAGTTGATCTGGTGGAAGAGGGTCCTAATTACTTGCCTAGTTTGCGCGCCTGAACAAGGAGACAAGATAGCAGCCGATGAGCGGCACAGGGCCGTGAAACACCTCTCCAGGAACACCTTGGTGTCAGGGAGCACTTAGTAATCCTCATGTTTAAACTCCTGCGACTGCGGAGCATCACCGCTGGTGAGAAAAGAAACAAATCGGAGGCATGGCCTGGACCTACGCGGGTTGGAGATAGTTTTGCGTCAACCTCGGCGACAGGTCTTTCAGAGGAACCTCGGGCGGACATGCTCGATGCCAGTTGGTGAAAAGAAGTCACTCCAGTTTCAGACGAGCATGGTGGGATGGTGTTACACTCCCCCAGAATCATCATGGTGACCATGAGTCTTCCGCAGACTGGTCAGACCGGTGAGCTCAGCTCACTCCACGTAACCCATCGAGGATTCCAGCACTGACGCGAAGAGACCGACCGGTCAGACGGAGGACCGTCCTTCGGTACCAGGTACTTCCAAAACCATGCTTGAGACATCTCCAAAGCACATACCAACGTTTGTCTTCCCGAAGTTGAAGGAAGACAAGGAAACACATGTACTGTATTTGAATGACCTGGGAGTCCAAGGCCATGTTTAAAACAAGGTTTAGCTGGTGTTGCTGTCACTGTTAAAATAGCCTTAGTAAAACAAGGGTTGTTTATTACTGGTGGTTAGAATCCCAGGTATAGTTCCCAGTCAGTGTATGTATTTTAGATAAATTGGTTATATAGGTCGAGGAACGTCCCTGCTTTGGACATGGGAGGATCCTCAAGGAGGAAGCATGCGGAACTACAGGACATGCTGGCTTGTAACGTAGACAGAGGTCTCAAAGTAGCTGTCACTGGCACCACAAGATGTCTTTTTAGATGGGGGAGGTTATACAATGAATCACCAAACTTGGGTAGCTTGCGCCTTCTACTCTCAATCCAGCAAACATGCTAGTTTACTATGCCATTTGCTAGTCAGATCCAACGCTGCAACCCCACTATAGCCGCCTGTGGGCAGCTTGACGGTCCAAGGATCAAAAAAGGCTCAAAAAGGTCCAGGACCATTGGGGTCCATCTTCTTTCCTTTTCTCCCAACAGGTCTCCGAAATGGAGGCTTGTGCAGACTTTTCCAAGTCGCACCAAATGACCTTCGTTGCTACCAGTTGGGAGACGTGTCGGAAGGTGCTGGTAAAGAGACCCTGAATGAACCCAATGATGGACTCCCCAAGTGACCCAGCGGCATCAAATCGCTCACCAAATTCCTCTCCCCTTTGGCCCTTCGTTTGGGTCCGTCCGATCTCGAGACCTGTGGCCATTCATTTTGGGAATTTTAGACGCCGGCGCGTTTGCGGCGAAGCCGCCGCCGGCGAGAATTGAAAAGGAAATCGTACTGGGACTGAAAAAGCAACGGCAGAGACGAAAAACACGGGTCAACAACGGGAGATAAGACTACCAGCAGTCACAAAGGGGTGCTTAATGGAGGTCAGGGGTGCCCAGAACATCCACTCACTTAGGGACTAAACACCACCCCTTCGTGACTGTTGGTATAGACTTATAGGTGTGTCGCAGCAAACCAGAAACAGTCTTTAAATGCTTACTATTTTTGAGAAAGGCCTGCAACCTAACCATCATCATCCACTGGGCCCTGGTAATAGGATATGCACAAGGTATACTTGTATTTGACTGGGATTGTCCAAGTCCGAGCCAATGGGCAAGCAGTTTGCAAACACCTGAGGTTTGAGCACAGGGATGCATGAAAGCTCATGGCAAAAGTACAATTGGTTGGCATATTCTTCGGAGTCTCCAGCAGGATTTTGAGGGTTTACATGCTTGACATTGTCAAGAGAAACCCAGTGCAGGCGCCGCAGGTGCCCAGTCTTTCCTTTCGAAGATTTTGCCCTGGCCGATCCTTTTTTCCAGATGGATTGAACAAGTGCTGGGCCCAGCAAAAGTTGTTTTCAATTTGGTCATTAGGTACTTATGGAGTCTATGGTCTATGCTGCAAGAAGCCACTAGCATCACTCGTGGAAGATCGTTTGTGCAGTGCCTGCAGCTTACTCATAAAGCATCATAAAGCCACCCTCTTTGGGGTTGGGCAGCATTCCGAGAAAGCCAAGCGTTTTTGGGGGCTGAGATGCCGCACAGCACTGGCACTGTGGTTGATTGGCCACCTTTTGGTCTTTAATTCGAGCTTGTACCCTGTGACGCGCGAAACGAAGGAAAGCCCGTGACTCGACACGTGAAGACTGCTCCAAACGATGGACTGACAGCCAGCTGCAGCTTCCAAAGAAGGCCTTCTACTATTGGTTAATCCCAAATTGGCCCCTCTAATTACTATTCACGAACGGGCATCCCTGCTTCAACCTTCACTTGTGCCATCTACCACCTGCTCTCCGGTGTGTTGTGCCCCTGTTCTGACATGGCTTTCTACCATCCAGTACGTTACTTCTATTTTGGTTGGGGCGCTGTTTCCGGAACAATCCCAGATTTGCACTGAGTCACATGGGCCGGTCTTCTGCTGCGGCAAGCGGCGGTGCAGAAAAGGCTCGCGTACCTTCGCCCCCTGCAGTGTGGCCTCCGGGAAAGCCATTTCATTGGCAGGAATGGCTTCCCATGCCATACTTGGAGAAGCATCTCCCACAGACTAAGGTGGTCGGTGACCCGAGCTTTTGGATTTCCGAACAGTTCCGATGGGATGCGTTTGGTCAGAGAGAGCATCCAGCAGCTTTCTGGGAATGTCTGGTTTGGATTTAGATGGGATCAGGGCCACCAAAGAAAAGCTGAGTTCTTGGTGCTAGAGGCTCTTTGCATTTGGAATGGTTGAGCATAAGCAGTCATTTTTCTCCCTAGGCTTTCCAACCAAGAGTAAATCAACGGTCTTTACCAAACAACCATTGTTCTACTAAGGATTTTGCACTACAACACCAGGTCAACAATTCAAATTCTCTTGGAATTGGACCCCCAGAGTACTTGTAAGATCTTATGATCTTTATAAGCATTGATAAACACGCTCTCATGTTCATGTTTTCTCCTATATGAGCACTTTTCGCAAGGGCAGAGGCACGTCATCGTGCTTCGCAGCCTGGGATGTGATGTGTTCGTCTAAGAAGTGTGCTCGGACGTTCGTTCCTGGGATGGCCCTACCATTGCTGTCCATGGGCGGCGTTCACCAGATGAACTGGTCAACCATTCTTTCAATCGTCAGTCCGGTCTAGGTCACTCCTAGGGTCTAGTCAGACCATGGAAGAGTCAGACTAGGTATAGTCTGAGACCTAGGGTATAGTCAGAATGGTCTGACTATAGTCTGGGTATAGTCTGAGTCTGAGACCATGTCAGACCAACTGAGGTAAAGCTTCAACCGTTGAAGCTATATGTCTTTACCAAACACCATTCTTGAAACCATGTCAGACCTAGGGTCTAGTCAGACCATGTCAGACCATTCTTTTTGAAACCTAAAAACGGACAAAGAAGTCGATGCGTGGGACAGCTGGATCCAAGTTCCTCGACTTCCTCGACTTCCTCGATCCGTGGCGTCCCCCAAACTGGCAGCTGCCAATGCCCAAGCGGAGAAAAAGAAGACCTGCCACGCGGTTGAACGCGCACCGATTGCCAAGCTCAGAGGTCCCGGAAGGTTCTAGGGAACAGTCGAGGTTTGATGTGGCGGAGGTCCCAAAAAGACCAACAAATCGCTACCCAGGACGACCCTCCGAATCTTCGACCAGTCTCGCCACTCAAGTCACTCACCAAGGCACCCACCAAGGCACCCACTCGCCACTCACCGAATTCGAGCGGTCTAAGGTTCGGAGCCGACTTGTTGGGGTCAGGGATCCACCTGGGACAACGGGGGCGAATCCATAGGTTCCTAGAGACTCCATGGGACTGCCATAGATGCCGAACAGTTGGGTGGGGTGGTTGACTGGGGGGTCAATGGGGCAGCAGTCCTATGGCAGTCCCATGGAGTCTCTGGGGTTCATACGTGGCCAGGAACACCGCAAACAGGCCGTGCGAACGCCTCATCTCTTTCGCCAGCCCGGGGGGGGGAGGATGAGGCTTCACTACAGGCTTTCTCCGCGCTCAGCAACCACATCTGGCTTTGGTTGGATGAGTCGCACTTGCATCAGTTTAGCCGAGATCACCACCAAAAGAACCCTTTTCGGAAGAATGGGGGTCCGGGTTCAGGTTTTAGCTTGTATATAATTATTATATACAGTAAATTACAGTAACATCTTGTAACCAAGTCTTAATTTTTAACGTCACACTTCCAAGGGCAAAATTCACACATCGCAGGGTGTCCATGAGGACATCTTTGTTTGGACCACGTGTTGTTGTTGTTGTTTGTTTGTTTGTTTGTTTGTTTGTTTGTTTGTTTGTTTGTTTGTTTGTTTGCGTGTGTTGTCGTTGTTGTCGTTGTTGTCATGGTTGTGGTTGTGGTTGTGGTTGTGGTTGTGGTTGTGGTTGTGGTTGTGGTTGTGGTTGTGGTTGTGGTTGTGGTTGTGGTTGT